AGCTACACATAGTCTGCCACCCGACTTGCTCAAATCTCGCCCATCATTCCCAATCATTCCGATTTCAATATTTACCAGAAAGATATGATGCGAAATCCAAGGTTGTTAGTAAGCAGCGCCTAAAAATCTCGTACACAAATTGCTTGACTATTCCATCAATTCCAAGAATCTCAACGATAGCCACAAGCATGGCTTACTCTAGGAGAACTACTCCAATGTGCGTCACCTCCCAGAAAGAATTCATACATAAAAGCGAGTTTCTCCAAATAACAACCTTCATCGAATTCATCCATCTTGTCCATAAGTTCAGCAGATACCTTCGATAAATTCGTCGTTTCCACCTGTAAAACTATATTCAATATGAAAATTGCAAAGGGAAATTATTTTCAGCTATACCTGAAGAAAATTCTTAGGATCTAGCGAGATATCGACGGCTTCATTCTTCTTTTGTTCATCTTCGCTCTTCTTCGCTGTCTTTTTCTTTTTCTTCTCCTTTGGTGGAGTCGATTCTTCTTGCTCCTCCTCACGAATTTTCTTCGCTACCTTAAGGGAACCTTTAAAAAAAAACGCCGGGAAACACTCCGAATTGAAGATCTATTAACCTCTTTTATATTCTCAACAATCTTCTCTTCAGCCGCATCGAACAACTTATCTATGTCTTTTGTACTGCACTCCTTCTGCTCAGGGACTTCATCGAAGTGCACTCGCTTTTTCTTCTTTTTACCTAAAAATTGATCGATTATGAAAACCATGAGCAAGGATGATTCCGCAGAATAGCGACTTCATAATTCATATCCTGTGTCAAGTGATCACAACCGATCTTAAGGTTTGCCTGTCTGCGCTTTACATCACGAGGCTTCCCAATGCTACCTCACTTTCTTCGCCGAGAGCAAACCCAAGTGATGCACGACTGCAGTGGTACGCCAAATGAGGAGAACTAGTGCGATGGCAAAATCACCCTGCCGCACCTCTGATTTATGATAGGTCAAATTTTGCCTATACCAGACACCATGAAGTGAATATTGATGCTTGCGTGACCCCCTCAGTCTGCGATTTTCACAAAAAGTCGCAGACATGGCGCAGCCAAGGGCATTTTCAATGTTGACCATTTAACCATTTATCCTAAAACCACAGCTCTTCGACTCACCTTTTTTGCCTTCAATTTCCAAACTTTTCACTTCGGGAGCCTCTGCTGGAGCGTCGGCTTTGTTGTCTACATCATTAACTGCTGTTTCAGCCGATTTCCCATCAGATTCCTGCGATTTTCGTTTTGTCTTCTTTTTCTTGGGACAGATTCAGAGTCAGTGGTTGACGGCGCTTGAGCTGTGACAACGGTCCAGTCATCGTCTTGGTTGAATAACGGTTCGGAATCCGATGTTGTCTAAATGTGATTCAATAGATTTTGAAATTAAAAGCGCCAAGAAAAACAGGCCACATTCTGTCTGACAATAAGAGCACATCGACGCGAACGTACTTCGCCAGCAACAGGCTCTTACTAGATCAGAGCAAATGTCGAAAAAACTTGACAAAAAATCGGAACTAGTGGAAACCTTTTGCACGGCCCGAGCCTTAGCCGTCTCTAGTTGACGTCGCTTCTTCGCTCTTAGCTCGAACAGAGCCATTTGGGCTTCTTTGGCGTCCATGGCGGTCTCGGAGGTTCCTTCTGCTCCATCTCCTTTCGCTGCTGCCAGTGCTGCGCTCTGGAAATATCACATTTTATGACCTATCACATTCTGTCCCTGAACCCTCGGCACCGAAAAGCAAATGAAAGGAACGCCAAAATCCGCTGATTACCTTAATCATTTCCGAGACACTCATTTTCTTCTCGTTCTTCTCTTCATCTTTCTCATCGTCACTTTCGGATTCTATCGAGACTTTGGATTTAAACTCGCGTCCAATCCTAAAACGACAATATTGAGGTTAGCGCAGACAACGCGTGAAAGGAGGACATTCGGCGGATCAATCTCTTTCTGAGATACGCCACGCATACCATCATCGAGAACGGAATTTGAACATGGCTTGGCCCATACAACGATTTGATAATTCATTGAGCCCATCGATGTACGACAGCGCCCTTTTATTCTCACCGCACAGAACCTGATACTCATTAATCCACAACGAAGGGGTGGAAGATTCGGTTGATCTAAGCAAGATTCAATTCTAGCTTCGAACCACGGGCAGTACACGTGGTAAGCGGGGCTATTTGTCACTGCACTGCCTCCCCCACCTGTTAGATACCATCGAAAGAAGTGTGTCAACAACAGAAGTTACCAGCTACCTCAAATGTTCCTCCAACACCTGTTTAGCGCGAGCATCTCGACCAGCATATTTCACTACGTCCTGTTGGAATTTCGTTCGAGCACGATGCTTGAGAGAACCGCGTTCCTTAAAAACTGGAAAGTTAAAATATATACGACCGAGATCAATTATATAAGAGCCATTACGGTCGCAAGAGAACAACATAGACGACTTACGATGATCCGCTGATTTTCAAGTTCCTTGTAGTTTTTCTTTTGCGGCTTCCGGATCTCGTACCAGCAGGTCATCAAACTCTTTGATTAGCTGCTTTCGTTTTTGACGTTTAAGGATGCGATGGTAACTGAAAATCTGAACTGTTGCAATTCGAGAAAACTAACACAGTTCAATCCCAAGAAGAAAGAGAAAGAAGGAAAATTAAAATTTTGCTCTTTTATGGCATTAGTTTACATTGTGGCACACACGAGTAGTACTGAGTGAGGTGACTAGCTCATGCTAAGCAGAGTCCCCCAAACCCAAGGACAGCGTTAGAAGAGGCTAAATCTGCAGTCCGAGATTTTTCGTCCCTATGTTCAACCAACAAAACTGCAAAAAGCGTCGCCCGAGGCATTCCTGGCGCGGGACCAAAACCATCACATCTACGGAAGTCGGCATTCATTCGCCTGGTAACCCTAGCTATCACAATGAACGAAGACTTAAAATGCCAAATGATCAGCATTGGAGGGGTAAAGTATCAGTTGAGGGGATTCGCTCAATGTGAAATAATGAGTAAGGACCAATGTTTGGGTTATCCAAAATGTAGTCGGAATAGGACATTTTTCTTTTAACAACCATTTATCCAGATCCGGTCAACATGTTGTAAATGAATCCTCGAAAAAATTCAAGATCAAACACTGACCGTTTAGATTTGATCTTAGCCGCATATCGATACTTTGCTTCACGATAGCTGATAAGTGCCCGCATCTTCTGCATTTGATTTAATTTTTCCTTGGCCTGAAATCTTGGTCGTTAAAAAAGGTCAAATCTTTAAACTCAACCCAAAACACATTGAATGCTTGATGAAGATTACAAAATAATCTCGGAAACGGAAGCACATGTTTTTAAAGCTGGTCGTGCGAACGCCATTTTGGTGCAGTAGTGCCGTGAAGGCTGGGTGGCAGTACTGCATCTGATGCTGATGCTCCTTGTCCCGCTGATGACACTCCTCTTCCCTCCACAGTTGCTGGACCAGCCGTCCATGCGTGTTCTCAGCACTTGGCTCGCGGGAAAATTAACGGAAAAAAAAGACAAAGTCTAGACCGTTAGGGAAATACATACGAAATATCGAATCGGAAATGTTTTAGTATCAACTCCAGATCAGAAGTTGTATGACACTACGATCCTTGCGAACTCCATATTGTGACCAGGGTTCGTCTAACATGACGGATTCCCCAATGGTCCTACTCGAACCTTCTCTGGGGGATCTTTATGTTTGGAACGTAAGTGTAACTCGAGAAGAGGGGGAGGCGGAATCAACTAAACTCAACCTCAACTAAAGTATATTATCATTTCACTTAACCCTAGTAAGCGGATTTCCTCAAACCCACAGCTCATTTTAAACGTATCAAGTGATTTAAAATTTAGAAAAAGCATTATTTAGTCGTCACGACCCTTATTTTTCAAGTTTGCTTCAGCATTCGATTTCAGTTTAAGCACTTGGACAATTCAGTGCGCTGACCACGAACACAGTACTCGTTTTTGGCCTTGACACCACTTGGCGCAAAAAACTCCACAAAACTTCGGAAGAGGGAGTTAAGAAAAGTAATGATGGAAAAGCCTATGAATCAAGAGAATTGCTAAAAGTCGCGGTACCTCTTTCACATCCATTGCCCGTATAATCTCTAACTCAGCTTCTGTGTACACCGTATCATTTGTCATGTTGTTCTTTGAACCGTTCCACATCTCCATCATCTTCTTTTCGAAATCAGTTTTGGGCTGTAAAAAAACGATGAAAAAAGTGTAATTATTTCTGAAAGCACCGAAACGCTTACGCCACTTACCTTGAATGCTTCGGCTCTGTCCGTTGGTCTTTCCGTCGACAGCATCCTTTCCTCGCCCAGTGGAAATGAAAGTTGATCAGCCAAGCGGTTGGTTTTCACGACATCATTCCAAGACTTTGAGATCCTTCCTGAACGCGACTACAAATTTTCGAAAATAGTCTTGTCAATGGCAACATCGTCACTTCTACCGAAATGCGCGAAACAATGCTGTGAGTTAGGCGAAAAAGGCTGTCTTCGCAAAAGGATGGAAGCTGACATTTCCCGTAATAAAAAATATTTAAAAAAATTTAACTGAGAAATCACACGCGGCCATAAAATGACACTCTTTTCGAATAATACACACAAGTTTGGAACCGTAAAACTTGTTCTCTTCCGTAAAACTCGCTAAATGTATTTTTCCTTATGGTTCCAAGATTTTCATTGATGCAAACGACTCCATTAGCTAAAAATTCATGGTGTTAGCGAGAGTTATAGTGAAGAGAACGGGAAGTATTGACCCAATTGATTTAAAAACCGTGATATTACTGATAAAAGAGTACTGACTTTACGTCATTGTCTACCATTTACCACCTCACCCGTTCGAAAGCCAGTCCTGATTCTACTCAAAATATGCCCATGAGTTGTTCCGCCTGGTGTACACGAATACCACATCCCTCCCGCGCAAAGCGCCTCGCGCACAAGCCACACGCGTCGCCGTTTCCCCTATCTACGCTAAACGAACTGAATGCGCCAAGCGAATGCGACATTTGTACTTCGTGAAACGAGCCCGGGCAAATCCCTTTTCAAATTCATACTCTCATATCATCTACGAAATTTTCAGAGAATGAGGTAGGAATTGATGAAAACGAACAATTCACTGAACTATAGCGACTTCGGAGCTTTCTCCAAAGCCGACAAAACTGATGATTTAGTGGGATATGTGTTAGTCGTCGGGAATGAACACGTTCGAACTGAAAATCAATAAAGGAAATATCGCTCACTTGAGTTCTATGAATCCCACAGCGCCCTTGATTCGTTCGCTGGCCTGCCGATGTACTGGAACGGCTACCGTTTCACTTGCACCAACTCTTTTCTTTTCCTTCTTTTCCAAATCTAGCTTCTTCTTTGCTACAGCTGTTGATAATCTAAATGAATGCAATATCAGATTTATAACACAATAAAAAAAGTTATTTGGTAGCTCACTTGGCCTGTTTTACTGAATTTATAAGCACATCACTGCTAATCTTCACCGTTGATTTTCTGATTTGTGCCTGAAAAAAATTTAAAGCGAAATAGAGTAATACGTAAAGAATCAT